TCGGATTGAAGAAATGGGATCTGTTGTTTAGAAGATTATAGATAATCATTGAAAGTATTTATTACTTGTTGGTTAGCAGATTTAGAAAATTATGTTTTGTTTTTTTTAATTTGCTTTATTATTAGCTATAGCTATTCAAGCCATATATCAGGATACACGGCAAACGCAATGTCACTAAATATTATTGAAGTTGACGATATGTCCACATTTCGTACATCGTCGGTGCCAAAAACAAAAACAGGTCAGTTTTGAGCAGTGGCGTCGGGCCTTCCTCATATTTATGGATCTTTACATATAACGTTTACCCCATGTAGCATCAAGCTTATTTTTGTCATTTCGAAATCAGCTCCAGGAAGGAATAACTTTGTCGGAATTTTGTTCAAGCATTTGGAATCTACAAAAGTGTTATGAAGGAGGTGTTCGACAGGACAGTAGAATTGGACCTATACGAGCGCGACATTACAGATATGGGTCACAGATACAACGGGAAAGGGTTCTATGAGTATCACCGTGAATTTCGTGCCAAGGCTGCGGCTCACCGACGGGTGTCAAATAGGAAAGTGGGTTGGTCAGTGCAAAACAATAAACTGTTCTGCAATATATTTGCAAACTTTACGCCCAATACATGCAACCATTGTAATAGTGTGAGCCATTACACCGGATTCTGCCCTACCCTTGCAGAGAATAACTTCAACAATAGCAACATGAGATCATACATCACGAACGCACAAAACAGCAACAGCAGATATTCTTATCAACCCAACAATGCTAGAAATGACAACCAAGGAAATCGTGCCAATAAACGATATTATTAAGGAAAAGAAATCTGTCAAAATTTTAATACAGAGAAAGGATGTTACCGATACAGATGTTTTTATTTACATGTGTGTTCATCATGTAAGACAGAACAAGTGCCCGGCTTCAAAAAAACGAGGGGACTTCAAAAAACGAGGGGACAGGACACAACAGACCGATAAGGAGACATTACAATCAGTGAAGATTTGTTATTTGTTAATGAATTTATGTCAACTGAACCTTTAAAAAGAGATACATTTATTGCTAATGTTCGTCATCTGTTAGAGGTAATAGGATACAATAGTACAAAGTATTGTGGGCACTCTTTTCGTATAGGAGCAGCAACCAGTGCTGCTTCAGCAGGCATAGAAGATCATTTGATTCAAACATTAGGCAGATGGCGTCAAATTGTTATGTTAGGTACATAAGAACATCTAAAGATGTGTATAAGTGGATGTCAATAATGCCGGGTCCACTTGCAAGTTTTAATCAATGTTTTATGTTTTTGATGGCATAAGGGAGCACTTGTATAACTTTTATTTTTACATATTTTTTTTGGAGGCTCTCATTGCAATATTTCTTTTCTTAAATATTGTATTCGATTTGGACTTTTTCCAACAAAATATTAGATGATTAAGTTAAAGATCCATTTTTATATATGTACATTTATACATGCTCCCACGGATCAACAATCCGGGTGACATGTACATTATATATGGAGGCCGCAGCCCCATATCTTTAACTTTATACATGGAGGCCGCAGCCCCAGTTTCCTTCTTTAAAATAGCAGCTACATGGAGGCCGCAGCCCCATTTTCCTTCTTTAATAGTATAGTACATAGGGAATATCTCGAAAAGCACGAGACAAATGTCTATTAAAAATTGGTCTAGATACTTAACACAGTTTATAATGCAATTTTTTGTTTTTTCAGATCCAAAATAATTTTTAGTAACCTTAATGTTTTGAATTTTTAATTGTAATATGGCACGCTCCTATAAAAGACGGGTCGATGCTCGTGCATATAAACACTATACAGAGGACACTTTAAAAACAGCTGTGAATCAAATTGTATCAAAGAAAATGTCATTACGAAAAGCAAGTCGTCATTTTGGTATACCTACTGGAACACTGAGTAATCGATTGAACAAGAAACATAAAAAACCAGGTCACCCTCCCGTCTTTACTGATGAAGAAGAAAAATCATTTGTCAAACATATCCAAGTAGTAGGGGAATGGGGTTTCCCCTTTGATAATTTCGACATCAGAATCTTAGCAAAAAATTATCTTGCTTCAAAAGGAAAGAAAGTCCCCCAGTTTGTTAATAATTGTCCTTCAACAGAATGGGCTGTTTCGTTTTTCAAGCGGTACAAAGATCAGCTTACATATACACTGTAAAAATTAAATGTAATAAAACCTGAATTTCAGGTAAAAAAAGTACAAACCTGCCTGTAAAATTACATTGGGCGGTAAATTTACCCCAAAGTCGGGTAAATTAACATTTTCATTAAAGTTTAGTCTTCAACCGGATAAATGGTGTGAATTTACCATCTAATCGCGTGATTCAACCGATCGATTGTGATTTAACAGGAAAATGTAGAAATTTGGGTAAGATAAATTTGTTGAAAATGATGACCCTGTGAATAAGATACCAAATAAGAACCAATAAATAAATGATATCTATTTATGTTATTTAAATCATTTGTGCTATTCTAATATAGCCCAACTTATCTGGAATAGTCTTTTGAGTCAAAGTCTAATTTTAATGATTAACTGGTGCATCTGAGTTTTCGTCACGTGCTAAACAATAGACTTCTTAATCGTCTACGTAATCTTTGAAAAACCTACCGAAAACTACGCACATGAAAGACTAATGTCAAAACCCGTATTCGCGATACAAAGGCTAGCTATATAAACTAGCCTATTCCATGGGCATGGTCTACTCCCATTGCGTGAATTTGCGTCTGTGACTATAACCTTATTCCCAGTTTGTCTACTCTAAATATATTTGAGAGCCTATACTCATGTCAAAATGAGTCTTTTATGTGAACTCAGACCTCTCTGACAAGCACACTAATCATACTTTAAATCTATAAGCATTTTTATTTAATGTCATCGGGATTTCCCAACATGGTTTCCCCTTGTCAGTGGCGCAGACCTGAGGGGCTGGCAAGAAAAAAGCACCCAGTCGTTTGGATTGAACGAAAAACTGAGATCTCGTGTGCTGTATCAGGGCACACATTAAAGAACCCAGACAGTTGGAAATCGACGAAGAGTATCTATAGGCGAGTTATCGCCGGGCCTGCTGTCCTGGCAAAAATTCCCTCATTGCACCCTGCATGGTGTTGCCCGTATTCATTACTCATTAGCCAATTAAACAAGTGCAGAAAAGAAGGACGTTAAATCTCATTTCATTCATTCAGTTTGTGTCTTAGAGGTGCCCGGTGTGGCCGAGTGGTTAGGACGCTTGCCGCTCATGCTGGAGGTCCCAGGTTCGCATCCCTGCAAGGCCGAGGTCAACCTTGTGGATTTTTCCGACTGCGTTCCTTCTTGTCAGGTGAGGGCTGACATGGAAAAGCGTTCTAGTCCATCGGAGACGACGATAAACGGAGTCCCGTGTTCATTCGATTGAGCACGTTAAAGACACCTCGGCAGTTAAAAATCGGTTGTAAGAGTAGGCCATGTGCCGCTGCCTTGACAAAATTCACCCTCATAGCACACACTTGGCATATGCCCGTCTCTAATTAGCCTTACAGTGCATAAAAATGGGACGTTAAACTCCATTTCATTTCATTTGTGTCTTAGAAGAAGGCTGACATCTTTAAAATTAAATTAGCCATTGACTCAATCCATGTTACTATGTTGGTACTCGTCGTAGCACACAGGGTGGGCCAACTAACTAATGCTGACGTAATCTAATGACGTCATTTATTGTTATTCATTTCCACGATATTTACGATAATAATCATAATTAATCTATCTGATGTTTGTTGTTAACCCAATAGGGCCATTGGCGCCCTAAACCGCCATGCTACGAGTCTCCACGACATCATCATTGGCTGTACGGCTTTCCCACTAGGAATTTCCCGAATGCGTCATCACATGCAAATCATGTAGGGAATCCCTCGACCTTTCAAAAAATGAGATAAAATGATTGGGTTGCTATTCTTGGTTCGGCGGAATTCCCGGTTCAATCCCGTCTTTTGTTTTAGTGTGGCGAAGGCGCCATTTGCATTTTTTGTAATTAGCGTGGTGCCGACATGGCTCGGAATTTACGACGTTTGGAGGACATACTGCACGAGTTTGATGATTCTGATGATGATTCAAGTCTCCTAGATGCCGGGGAATCTGATATCGAAGTTGAGATCGAAGTTGAATCGGTAAGATTTGCATTTTTTTCAATTGAGCAAGCTGTGTTTACAGTCTGTCGGTGCATTGCTATGGTAAACAATAACGTACACACGTGGAGTGTTTTTCGCACTGAATGGTTATTCCTGCTTATATTTTCCCTCTGTGTTTATTTGAGTGGGTGGGAACACTCACCAGGAAACACATTATCGCAGTTGGAATGTGGTTTTGGCCGGTTATTTTGTTGTTGACACTGTCACCGCAGTCCATGCCAGCTTTCACTAGGCCTACTTTCAGTTTTTGCTCAGTGACAGCTGATTTTCTTGAACTGCTGAATGAATGAATTTTGCATTCATTGAGGATTTTAGACTCTTGTGGTGCTGTGTACCCCTCCTGATATTGTCTGTAGGGGTTGCTGTTCGGGGGGGGGGGGGGGGGTCCAGGTGATGTATGAAAATGAGGGGGGGGGGATCCAGTTGATGTATGAAATAGGGGGGAGGGGCTGGGATAGGTTGGGGGGTGTAGGTTAGGGTCAGGTGATGTAAACAATTTGATGAAATAAAATACTTTTTAGATCAACTTCTATTATTCTTCAGGAAGATAACGACGACGACAATTCAGAAGGCGACACAGACAACGGAAGTCACGTTCATATGGCATCTGTCTCTGACGACGATGATGTTCCGCCGGCAGTCGAACAGCAAAATAATAATGGTGGTGCAGGTAGGGGTGCTGTTGGACGTAGACAGGCTGGTGTGCAAGGACGTGGCGGTCGAGGACGTGGCGGTCGTGGGCGAGGCCGTGGAGCTCAGCAAGGGGGTGGTGATGTTCAACCCCCCATAAACTGGACCAATCAATTACCCCACCCTAATATCAGGCCATATGTAGAATCACAGGGACCTAAATGTGAACTTCCCTTTGATTCCCCTGCACTTGATTTTCTACAGTGCTTGATTGGAGCTGACTTTTTTCAGACTATGACAGACAACACAAATATGAATGCCGTGGCAAAAAATCCACCTGCTACCCATGATGCAGGCAATCCACTCCAAACATCAGATGCAAGCTGGGAACCTACCAACCCAGAGGAAATGAAGGTTTTCATTGCTATCAACATCCTTTTTGGTGTTGATCCCAAACCGGAATTCCGCGACTACTGGAGTGAGGATACGGCCCTGCACAATGGTTTTGTCAAAGCAAGAATGGGTCGACAAAGATATGAAAAACTCTTCCGATATTTTCACTGCAGTAACCCTGTCCTCCCTGTTGATCCAGATGATAAGCTTGCAAAAGTGCGAACATTCCTAACGGTTCTACAGGAAAATTTCCCAAGAATGTTCACCCCTGGAAGAAACTTGTCTGTTGATGAAGCCATGATTGCTTTCAATGGCAGGTTGTCATGGAAGCAATACATGCCTAAAAAGCCTGTGAAATGGGGGATAAAACTGTGGTGTTTGTGTGACTCTGAAACTGGTTATTGCCTTGCATTCTACCCTTACACTGGAGCTGGTGGGGGGGATGAAGTTCTCAATCTAGGTCTCGGCTATACTGTAGTAATGACGGTGATGAGAGAATATCTGCTTCGCAACCATCATGTTTACATTGACAACTTTTTCTCTTCTGTCCAACTGGCGAGTGACCTACAACAAGCAGATACTTATGTCTGTGGCACAGTGCGGAAGAACAGACGAGTTCTACCCAATAATATTGATCAAGTCCGTCTACAGCAGTACGAGAGTGTGAAGTGGATATCGGAGGAGGTTGAAAATCTTCTGTTTATTAGATGGAAGGATAAACGGGATGTATACATGCTGTCCACCAATAATGACGGGAACGACACCCAGAAACCTCGCACAAGATTCAGGCAGGATGAGATGATAGACATCCCAACAGCAATAAAGGATTATAATTCTAACATGGGTGGGGTTGATTTCCTGGATCAGATGCGCAGCTACTACAATGTTGGCAGAACAGGGCGTCGCTGGTGGAAATAATTATTCTGGGGTCTGCTCAATCTCGCTATTGTGAATGCATATATTCTGTGGTATTATAGCAGCATGCCACACCCCAATAATAGGAGACTGTCATCCCTGAAGGTCTTCATATTGAAATTGGTGCACGAGATGGCAGACAGGTTCACTTCAAGGAGGAGGAGTCTTGAGCAGTTTGATGACAAACAGCGCAGGGTGAAAAACATCTTCCACAGGAATGCTGCACCAGGTCACAGCTTTGTTGAGTTCAAAGGGAGGAAGCGGTACTGTTCGACCTGCAAAAGGGATGGACGTAAAACCCCTGGACAAAATTATATTGAGACGATATATGGCTGTTCTGGTTGCCTTGCCAATATGTGCAGAACATGTTTCTACCAATCTCATAACCTGCCTGTTCAATAAATTCTTTATACCAACTAAGTACGACTTATATATTTATTTATTTATCCATAAATAAAGCCTAAAGTAGACAGGGACTTAGTAGAAAGTGCGAAAGCTGAAACTTAGTAATTTATGAATTTCGCGACGTTTACATGTCATTCGTCATGTACCTATTGACCTATATTTGGGCAAATTGATAGTAGCTTTTGCAATCTTTTGACACCCTGACTTTCAGAAAATAATATTTTAAATATATTCCAATGATTCCAGTTTGCAGAACTCATTGAAAATTAGAGAAAACCACGAAAAATTAGATGGAAACCAGATTTTTTTGTCAAAAGTCAAAAGGTCAAGGTCAAAGGTCACCAAAAGTTGACCCCCTACCAAAATATTTTGCGAGTTTGAATTCTTTGGTTTATTATCTTTCATACAAATATAACTTGTAATGTATGATTTTGAATTTCTACAATAGATTTAAGTCATTGAAATATCCATGTCTCAATTTGGGAAATCCTTAAAAAAATAGGCGGTTACAGACGGAAAGTGTAAAAATAATAAGCGGCTCTATTGGGTTAAAAACATTTACATGATATTAATCCGAATTGTTCTTTGGTGTTAAAATTAATACAAAACATAACTGTATGTTATGGCAATGCCGTATGTTATATGTCATGGAAATGAAACCCCGATTTTACGACAATTAGCGACCTTCTCACGGCTTCGCGCTCTTTTTCATTTCACCCGGCAAGCAGTACACATGGTACACACGTAAGTGACATTTTGTGTTCATATTATCTGCGCAGCCCGCATTGCAGAACATATTATTATTATGTTACACTGATCTCAACCTAGCCTAGATCTACCGTCTTTGCAAATTCGATGGTTGCGCCAAAGACTGTGTACAAATTTGGGATATACTATATAAACAAATATAGGAAAATTTGAAATTATCAATATTTCACTTTTCAGTTTTTCTTCGTGACTCGTGTTACTGTGTAGGCTACGGTGATTTTAGTAGTCCTCATATTAGTCTTAGCAAAAGCTTCGGTATATAAAGAAGGCTGACAATCAATTGATAAGATTTAACTATTGCAAGAATAAACACTTTGTGGTCGGTGATGCAGACCAAAACTAATTGAATATCTGACCTTGCATGTAACAGTGACTAAAAACAGAACTCGGCCGTTCTAAAAATAGATATGGTACAATTGATCAAAGGCATCAACAGAATGTTATAACAATGTTGACATATTGTTGCAGACAAATTTAAAGAGACAGCATGGGGTTACTTACCTCTTGGTCACATATTTATCAAAAATATGGTCTGCTTGACCACTGCCATAACAATGTTTTTATGTTTTACAGGTTCAACTTTACTGTTAGGATTAGGAATTAGTCAAGTCCAAGTACTGAAACATAGTAATCTCCCAAAAAAGGTAAGTGTCCACCTTTGACCTTTCCCCACTTAAAGATGGGTTACTGCATTTTCATATATTCACATAGCCTAGGTATATATAATTATTGGATGTCTAATTCTAACAGACACTGAAAAGTGGAGTTATCGTTGTGGACTGAAAAAATAATAGTCTGAAAAATTCCTTATTAATGTGTAATTTGCTAATTTACTGATTATAATTTATTCAGTGACCATTTAGCAACGTTGTCTAGTTTTAGACAATAAATAACGTATTGTCAAATGACTGATGATCGTGATTAGGCCTACTGATTTTTGTATTCAAAGTGTCTGCCCGATTTGTGCGAATATCTCCCCTTGTAAAGAGATGTCATTACAAATAAAAATCTCCTAAAATCTAGTTGTCATTGTTAATGGTGAAATAGTTAATTATCACCCAAGAGGATGAACTCTATTGGTACCGGTAATCAAGGAAATCACAAAATATTTAATTTGAGTTACCGGTATTGTTCTTTTTGTTAAAAAAAATCCTGAAAGATATGTTTCACTAAAGGTTGAATATTTCATGGTTGTGATGTTTGCCGTCTTGTCAAATGTTATATTTCAAACAAAGTTGCCAGTTGGTGTATAATATTACATTGCCTGGCAAGCTGTATTGCCCTTGATGTGGCCAAAACACATCAAATCGACCAGTTAACGTGATGGACTACAGTTTACAATTTTGGCAAATTTATGCATATTGAAATGATCTTGAATGATTTTGGTTTTCATTTGAACAAATTTTTTGTTGTTGCCATTGAAGGACTATTAAAATCTGTCATGATATTCTATTAAATCATGCAAGTGCACGTGCTCTTGGTTGATGCTTGGTTCTATCTTCCTTATATTAAATGGTTGTCTACCACATGATATTTTGTGTCAAAATGTGATGAAGATCTTTACTTATTGTCAGCCATGGATGAAGTTGTTCAACTAACCAAGGAGTTGCTACCAAACTTATCTACAACTGAAATGAGCCTATTGTTAAGAAAATACGATGAGGTTGGTGTTAAAAATATTGAAACCTTGCAGTATTTGAGTGCTGAAGACATTAGTGGCATTATTAAACTGATACCAGCTCGGAGATTTATTTTAGACGTTAAAAAAAAGATGAACAGATCTGGTAAGTTGAACGTGTAGATAAAAATGTTTATGGTAACTTCACTAAATTAGTTTATATTGACATTCAACTTGCACCTAAAGTAATATAAAAAATAAAACGACGAGTCGAATAATACACATTAAATACATGTAGTTTATTTTTGAAAGCCATGTATGTTCATCATGGAATCTTGCAACTTCTGATTGCATCATTCTGATTTCCTATTCAATATCGGGTTTTTTGGGGTACGTTCCCTTAACTTATTTAAATCCCTTCACTATTTGAGGCTTCAGAGCAGTGTGATCTTAAAAGAACTTGTGAATTGATGACAGTTAATGAAGTTTTTGAAGTACAGATACCTCATCAAGTTCTTCAATTTGAGAAAATTCTAGTTGATAAAATCAAGGTTATCATTTTGGACAGCTGGCAGTGGGCGTATGTTACCTTGCATGACAAGTTATCTTTGAAGTGTTTGTTTCACGTAATTATATAATTACATGTAGTGTTGGGCGGTATTTTGGAAATATATATTCTGGTTTGAAGATAAAAGGTTTAAGTTCAAGTATCCATTACATTGTTTGATTTTTCTTTAACAGATGTTGAAGACTTGACCAGCAGTGAAAGCACCTACCATACTGACCACAGTACCTCAACAAGGCTAGTCAATTCGCCAGCTAGCAGTAGTGGTAGTTCATTTTCGGATGAACCGTCTGCCCTTTGGGCCCAATGGTATGAAATACCGTGGGAGAAATTTCCTAAACTTTTTTTGGACTCGTGCGAGGGTGGAAACAGGCCTACCGAATATCTACGTAGAGAATCAATAAGAATTTTGGTGGATAGCATCAGGGAGGTGGCGAAAAACCCAACATTGAAAGATCTACATTTGATAGCAGCAAGATTGGTTAATAGATATAATGATGCCTTGGGGGACAAAGTAATGGGCAAAGTTATTGGATCAGGCTATTCAAGTATCCTGTCAAATATTGTAGAGCGTCTGCACAATCTTAAGAGAAAAAATAGTTCTTCAGCAAGTGGTGGTAGTGGTGGTGGTGAAAGTCCAGGCTCCAGTTCCTCAAAGAATTATGGATGTTTATCTACATGGAGTGTAGACTTTGATAGTGAAAAAGAATCCGAATTGATAAAAAAGAAAGATTGGATGAAATCTGAATATGTTAGTTCCAGGAATATGACTTGTGAGTCCACTATAAAGGAATATACGAGCGACACATACCCCTTGCAGAGAAAATTGATAAATTCAAGCTCAACAAATGAAGTTGTAAAGGAATTTCCATATTTGTTTGAAAGAGATATCGTGTGTCAGCATTTTTCAACACTAACCGGTCATACATTAGAAAATTATGCAACCGCCCATAAAAGAAAATTCTCATTGATTCATTGTATGCGGAAGGAAAACTCCCCACGCTTAAGAAAGGAAATACAACAAATGGACGACATGGTTAATGAAACTCATCCACATATGAAACTCATAGGTTTTATTTAAGTCTTAATGGCATACTTCAGAGAAGACAGTTTGCTGGAATTTTTTCAGGTATTGTATATTAATAACATTTGAATTTTTTTTCTGGGAAGTGCCATGTGACTTGCATGTTTAGGATGACAGTTACCAGTTAATTCAGTTACCAAGTAATGAGTAATAAAAACATGATTATTCATTTCAGCCCTGTACAGATGTGAAGACAGTTGAGTCTGTTTCGAGAAAGATTGGTGCCCCAGTCATTGCAGTTATTGGTATGATTTAGTTCATTCATAAAATTGTTTATTTCATCATTTTAAGCTTATTATCACCCGCCAACGAAGTTGGGTGGGGGATCTACAAACGGGCAGCGTCCGTCTCAAATCGTTTCCAGAGGATAACTTAAAAAATATTCAAGATATTTCTCCACCAAAATTGGTATACACATTAAGATACTATAGATATGCCTTTCAGCAAAAGTTTCATCTTCCGATAAATATTTTGTCTGTCTGTTTGTCCATCACAAATGGTTTCAAGAGGATAACTCCAAAACTATTCAAGTTTCATCTTACGATAATTATTTTGTCCCTCTG